ATAATCAAAAAATCTATTTGAAAGCTCCTACAATAGATTAGTGATAAATAACTATCAATAGGGGTTTGTCAAGAACAAATTATGCCAAACAAAACTCATCTCCTTCTTTGACAGGATAACCATCCTGCGAAAGACTTGATTTTAGGAAGACTTTTGATATTGTCTCAGAATATTTTCTCATAAGCAAACTAGAGAAACAAAAGCCAGACAAGCCTGTTATAAAGGTGGTGCACAGCTGGCTGAAAAACCATACGCAAAGGGCAGTTCTTAATGGTTCACAGTGAAGTTAAAAGGGCGTATCAGGTGGAGTCTCCCAGATGAGGACAAATGGGAGGAAATCCAGAGGGTTGCAAAAAATGATTAAAGTTCTAGAAAACATGAGGTATGAGGAAAGACTGGAAAAAGGCGGGTGGGATTGTTTAGTGTGGAGAAGCGAAGACTGAGAGGGGACATGAGAAATCCTCAAGTACGTAGAAAGTTGTTATAAAAAGGTGTTAATTTGTCCTCCTTATACATTGAGCACAGGACTGGAGCTAATGGGCTTAAACTGCCCAAGGGAGGTTTAGGATGGATGTTATGAAAAACTTCCTACCTATCCGGGTAGTTAAGCACTGGAACAAATTACCTATGGGGGTTGTAGAATCTTCATCATTAGTGGTTTTTAAGAACAGGTTAGACAGACACATGCCTGGGATGGTAGATAATACTTAGTCCTGCCTCAGTGTGTATGAATATGTCTTGCAAATATGTATGAATTCCACCTGACAGCCAACATCAGTCCTAGGGCAACTTCACTAGTGTCCACAGAGTTACCCCAGTGATTGTTTTGGAACACTTTTCTCATTTAAAAGATGAAGGAAACTGAAAAATAAGCCAAATTCATTCAAATTAAGCTGCCTAAAATTAGGCACCTAAGCTCATATTTCGGGATCTTAGGGTATGTCTACACTGCCACCCTAGTTCGAACTAGGGTGGCTAATGTAGGCATCGAACTTGCAAATGAAGCGTGGGATTTAGATATCCCGAGCTTCATTTGCATGTTCCCAGGAGCTGCCATTTTTAAGTGGCCCATAGTTTGAACTACCTGCTCGCAGCTACATATGTCACGGACTAGGTAGTTCGAATTAAAGCTCCTAATTTGAACTACCGTTATTCCTCCTGCAAGGACGTTATTTAAATCCCTAGTTCGAACTATGGTGGCAGTGTAGATATACCCTAAAATCCTGAAATATGAGCTTAGGTGCCTAATTTTAGGCAGCTTAATTTGAATGAATTTGGCTTATTTTTCAGTTTCCTTCATCTTTTAAATGAGAAAAATGTTCCAAAACAATCACTGGGGTAACTCTGTGGACACTAGTGAAGTTGCCCTAGGACTGATGTTGGCTGTCAGGTGGAATTCATACATATTTGCAAAGGGCACAGGAATCCCTAAGTGGAAGGTGCCAGAGAAACACAAAGTCCAGACCAGAATTCAAAACAACCTTGACAAATTGAAGAATTAATCTGAACTCAACATAGAATCATAAGGTTGGAAGAGGCCTCATGAGGTCATCAGGTCCATCCCCCTGCCCAAAAGAGGACCAACCCCAACTAAATGGCTGTGTCTACACTGGGCCACTTATTCCGGAAAATCAGCTGCTTTTCCGGAATAAGCTGCGAGCTGTCTACACTGGCCCTTGAATTTCCGGAAAAGCAACGACGTTCTACTGTACAAAATCAGCCGCTATTCCGGAAAAACTATTCTGCTCCCGCTCGGGCATAAGTCCTTATTCTGGAACACTGTTCCGGAAAAGGGCCAGTGTAGACAGCCCAGTAGTCTTTTCTGGAAAAGCGCGTCTACATTGGCCACAGACGCTTTTCCAGAAAAAGGGCTTTTCCGGAAAAGCAGCCTGCCAATGTAGACGCTCCTTTTCCAGAAAAACTGAAAACGGAATAGTATTCCGTTTTAAGCAGTTCCGGAAATTCATGCCAGTGTAGACACAGCCAATCATCCCAACCAGAGCCTCAGAAAGCTGGGACTTAAAGCCCTCTAGGGATAGTGATTCCACCACCTCCACAGGTGACCCATTCCAGTGCTTCACCACTCTCCTGGGGAAATAGTTTTTCCTAATATCCAACCTAGACCTGCCCCCATTGTAACATGAAACCATTGAATCCAGGAGAGCTGTCTGTATTTTAAAGAAGCCTTATTGAAGGCATAGGAACAAACCATCCCAATGTGCAGTAAGAAAAGCAAATATGGGAGATGACCAGGTTGACTTAACAGAGAAATCTTTGGTGAGCTTAACTACAAAAAGGAAGCTTGCAAGACATGAAATACAAATGAAAATGTACTAATTTTTTAAAATCACTAATTAATTTATTTTCCAGAATGTAAAGGATCTCAATTAAACATTTTGCTTTTTTCTTTTAGTGCTCAATAAACCAAAACATTTTGACCACAAAAAAATTCCACAAACATAAAAAAAATTCTTTTGTATAGAAAACGTATTTTTCTTTTTTAAAAAGTTTAGGTAATATTTTGATATCATAGTGGTCTGGCACCACCAGTATTATAGAATGACTTCTCAGAAGAAATGGGGAGGGTCATTTGTGATAGAGTCAAAAATAAATAAATAGGTGGTCACTAACTTATTTGCTTATCACACAAAAAAATGAGCAAAATCTATCCCTGGAATAATAGGGTCACTGAGTTACACTAAGAAGGATTTGAGTCTATTATTTTCTGCTCTGCTTTAGGTTTTTGGGTTGGTTGTTACTGAGACCAGACAAAAAATGATAGCAGCTTTTTGCTGGGGTTTTTTCTCATTGTCATGCTGTGAATTATCCATTGTAGACAGTCTAGGAGGAATGCGAGAGAGTCTCTGCCCGGCATTCTCTTCCCAAAGGCCACGATCAGACAATAGAGTGCACTGTTCTCTAGCACATAATACAGTAACATCATATTTCACTGAGCACAAAGCTACCTAGTAGTTTGTAACATGCCCAACCATCCCTCAGTGAAGTGGTGACTGTGTTTGCTAGAGTGCTTGGGAGACCCAGCTGAAAGGAGGCCCTGTATTTGCGTCTGTCTGATTGAGTTTCCACAGTCGGGTTTGCCACCTCCTGCACTGACAGGAGGAACTTGCTGGAAACATTAATTTCCTTCCCTCCTCATCGCCTCTTGCTGCTCTCTCTCCCTGGAAAGGTCTTGCTGGGGATAAAATTTCTCATGAGAGACCTGAACTGCTCTTTAGGGGGGTGAGCTGTAGGTCAGGTTCAGAGAGAAAGGACAGGCTTAAACCCACCCTAGAAAAAGTTCCCTCTGAAGCTGTTCCCAGTTCCACAGAGCACTGCCAATTCGCTCATGCTTTTTGGCTTCAGGGACTCAAGCTCTGAGGGAGGGCAGTTCCTTAGCACATTCAAGTAGGAATTTTGATGCCCCACGCCCTGCAGTCAGATGGTACCTTTACATATGGGATGAAGGAGCCGTGGGCTCTAAGGGCTTGTCTTCACTACATGGTGTATTGATGCTGCAGCAATCGATCCATCAGCAGTCCATTTAGCATGACCTCTGAGCACTGTCCTGTTGACTCCGGCACTTCACCAGGGCTATGTCTAGACTGCAGGCGGATCTTTCGAAAGAGAAATCCGCTTTTTCGAAAGAGAGCACCCAGCGAGTCTGGATGCTCTCTTTCGAAGACGGCCTCTTTACATTGAAGAACGCCTTCTTTTGAAAGAGGAACTTTCGAAAGAAGGCGTTCTTCCTCGTAAATTGAGGTTTACCGCCATCGAAAGAAAAGCCGCGTTCTTTCGAAATAATTTCAAAAGAACGCGGCTTGAGTCTGGACGCAGGGGAAGTTTTTTCAGGAAAAGACTACTTTTCCCGAAAAAAACCCTGAGTCTGGACACGGCCCAGGAGAAGAAGAGTAGCCAGAGTTGACGGGAGAGCAGTCTCCATCAACCTTACAGGAAGGAAGACACCGCAGCATAAGGATAATGCCTTTTTCACTAGCCACCTTGGAAGGCCTAGAGCCTAAGGCCTTCATCTGCAGCCATCATCAAAGAGTAGCAGCCATTAGCTGCAGAGCAGGGAGTTGCATCTTCACATTCCATCTCAATTGTGATAGCAGGCTGGTAAGAAAGAGACCTTGTCCTAACAGCCCCCACTATCAGACGAGAAAGAAATAGCTCCCCAGGCGGTTAAAGAAAACAGTTTGACAGCATCTCATCTGGCAAGACATGACTTCTCAACTACTTGGGTTGTGAAATCCTCATTCTATGACTATGGTCCTCGCTTTCCTATTGTTTGTCTGTCTGAGCTCTGTCTGGTTCCTGTCTGCTGTATAATTAATTTTGGGAGGTGTAAATCAATTAAGGTGGTGGGGTACGATTGGTGAGATAAGTCTGTTACAGGATGTTAGGCTTGGTTAGTAGGATTGTAGTAAAATAAATGGCTAAGGTAAAGCTAAGCAGGACTCAAGTTTCATTAAATAAACTGAGGTCCAAGAAGGAGACCAGGGGAAAAGGAGAAAGGAAAAGAAGGAACAGAAAAAATAAGGAGGAAAGACCTGGGAGAACTCACCTCCAAGACACAGCCTAAAGACCAGAGCTGCCTGTGCAGCAACCAGAATCCAGACAAGAATGACCTTGCCTGGCCAACAGGGAAGTTCAGCTGCCCTGATTAGGATGCATGAGGATGGCCCAGTATGCCTAGCATGTGTATTCTGCTAGCTTGGTAATGGTTAATAAACAGAGAGTATTAGTGGGCAAGGCTCTTTCATTGGCAAAAAGTCCTGCAAACTCACAGGAAGTTACGGCTTGAGCCCTAGGAACTGGGTAAAGTTGGGCACCCCCAGAGTGTGGGTAACAGCTTCAAGTATGTTGACTTCAGCTATCCTAGTCTCATAGCTGAAGTTGCGCAGGTTAGATCAACTGGAGGGTGGGACAGAGGGGTGACAGCGTCACGGAGAAGCACCATGGACTTCTCAGTGCTGCAGCACAGCAGCAAAGTAACTTACCTTCTTAATCTCTGGAGACCGCACACGGGACCCTTCTGACTCGCTGAATGCCCTGGTGATCGCAAACTGGATTGCCAGACCTGTCATGGTGCCTGTGGAGAGGGGCTTGATCTTGCGGACCGCTTGCAGCAGGCTGGCTTTGCTCCGGTGGGTCTTGAGGGAGAACTCGTTCTTGACGGTGCTGGCATAATTGATCACTCCCACCCGAGTGGCGTTAAGGCCCACGTCTAGGGACTCGATGACCTGGGACATGAAGACTTTAACCTGCTCAAATTCATTTGGGCGCACACTCCGGGAGCTGTCTATGAGGAACACCAGGTCCAAGGGTCTTGTCCTGCACAGGGTACCTGCACGACAAAAGTGGGCATGGAAAGGAGAAATAAATCTACCCAAAATATAGCAAGATTCTGGGGTCTGAGCAGGAGGCTGGGGACCCAGGACTCTGGAGTTCTCCTGCTGGCTCTTGTGGGGAGATGGCAGGGAACTAGGCATATTTAATATTCTTTATGGCAATATGCTCATGAATATGAATATACCTAACTCAGATATGCTTTATGCAAAATACCAAGAGAGGGAAAACTGCCTTTGTAGTGAGAGAACCATTCTCAGTCCTTATTCGGTCCCAATTTGATCGTGTTAAATTTGCCAATGAATTGCAGCTCTGCTGTTTCTCTTTGGAGTCTGGTTTTCAAGCACTGTGTAGGAGGCCACCCTTCAATCTGTTACTGTGTGTCCCGGGAGATTACAATGTCTTTCCACAGGTTATTCCTCGTGACATTTCTTGATGTCTCATTTGTGTTTATTTATCCTTTGGTGCAGAGACTGTCTGGTTTGGCCAGCACGCGTGGCAGAGAGGCTTTGCTGGCACATGATGACACAGCTCACCCCCTCCACAACAGAACGAGCTGGTACTGGCACTCCAGCCATGCGGGGATGTTGAGGCCGGATCAAGGCAAGCCACTGGCCACATCTGACCTCTAGGCTCTGCTTGGTGGGGGAGGAAGTGGTTCTCCATTGGGAACTCAGTTCAGAGAAGCTATGTCCCTTGTGCTGGCTTGCAGGCTCTACTGCCCCACCCCCATTGCACCCAGGAATACTGGCCAGTGGAGCCGGAGGAGGAGGTGCCTGCTAATGCAGAATGGCACAGAGCCATCTGCACCCCACTCCCTAGGGCTGCACCAGGTAGGGGCACCCCTTCTCTGACCCCTCCTGCACCTACTACCCAGACTCTACCCCACCTAGTCCTGCATCCTACCATCCCTTCCTTGATCCTGCATCCTACCATCCCTTCTCCGCTCCTACATCCTACCATCCCTCCCCCGCTCCAGCATTCTACCATCCCTCCTCCGCTCCTACATCCTACCATCCCTCCTCCGCTCCTGCATCCTATCATCCCTCCCCCACTCCTACATCCTACCATCCCTCTCCTGCTCCAGCATCCTACCATCCCTCCCCTGCTCCTATATCCTACCATCCCTCCCCCGCTCCAGCATCCTATCATCCCTCCCCTGCTCCTACATCCTACCATCCCTCCCCCACTCCTGCATCCTATCATTTCTCCCTGGCAGCCTCCTCCCACACACCGAGCAAAGACTAGAGCCTAAGGGGACACACAAAACCTACTAGTCTTGGATCTCCAGAAGACTTACTCTGGCCCTGAGGGAAACCCTGAGCCTTGACTCCTCCCCCCTCCACAGAGCTGGTATGCAAGGGGAACACTGGCACTCCGTGTTGAATGAGTGAGCTGAGTGACTTTTATTTTCTGAAGCTTCAGGGGGTAGCCAAGTTAGTCTGTACAGGATAAACTTAAAAAACAGTCTGGTAACACTTTATAGACTAACAAAAAATGTCGGTGGTATCATGAGCTTTCATGGGCACAGCCCACTTCTTCAGATGACCAGTCATGTTCCCATCTGCATGTTTTGTTAGTCTATAACGTGCTACCACACCGTTTGTTGTTTTTTATTTTCTGCTTAGTAATTGGTGGGAGGGTCACATTTGTGAGGGTTTTTCTTGTTGTATTTTTGCTTCTCACTAGTATGTGGCCCCCAGCTGATTTTTCTGTGGATTAGTGGCTCGCAACACAAAAAAAAAATCCCCACCAATATTCCCTCTAATTTTTCCATTTGGCTGTGTCTACATTGGCACCCTTTTCCGTAAAAGGGATGCTAATGAGACACTCCCCCGCGGCATTTGCAATTCCGAAGTGTCTCATTAGCATCCCTTTCACGGAAAAGGGTGCCAATGTAGACACAGCCATGGAGTCTTATTGGAGCCATTTCTTCAGTGAGAATGTTTCGCCCTTTCTGTATTTGTGCACTACGCCCGTGCTCCCAGCTGTGGGTTTTGTCAGTGCTCTGCTAATCATCTGGGCAGCATTTGACTCTCTCCTGAATGGCCACCCAAACACTTAGCTTACAGGGAACACTGTTCCCCACCCTGCACTAAATAGAAAGAAATGTGAAGGGAGAGGAGACAATTAAGGCAAGTGATGGGGTAAGAAAGGGGGGAGTAAGAAAGTAGGTAGGATGAGTGCAGGTTACAGCAGAGGTTGTGAATCCGACCTATGCATGGGTCTTTGTGGTAGAAGGGGAGTCTAGTGGATCAGAGCTGTGACCTAGGACTCCTGGCTTCTGTTCATTGCTCTGCATGACACTGGGCAAGTCGGCGCGCCTCACTGTGACTCAGTTTCCCTATTTTAAGGCCATTTGGATGGTCATAAATAGTTACTTATATCATAAGGCAAAGTGGGGACTAATTAATCAGTGTTTATCAATGGCCTTTCATTTTGTGCACAAGAAAGTGTTTTCTTCAGTTAAAAAAATATCACCATGCACAAATCTGGGCATTTAGAATAAAAGGTGACAATACCAGGCATTTGTGGGGCATTTCACCCCGCCAGGTTTATGCTCCTCTGCTGATACAACTCAGTGCAGTCACAGTCCAGTAAAACATTGGAGTTGACCACCTGTCTAAAGGGTCTTTAGTAGATGCCCTTCAAACACATTACAAAAATTGATCCATAAATCCCTGCAACTCTGTGCATTTCAGAGATAGATACACAGAGGCATATAGCCTTTGAATAACTACCCCAACGTTCTAGGGGGTCAGTGGAAGTAGAAAAAGAACCCAGGAGTCCTGATTTATATAATCCCCTGCTCTAACCAGTGTGTCTCAACTAAAGGTTCATGGACCACAGGGATATTTAGAAGTCTTTCAGAGGGTATATCAGCTGATTTGCCTACTTTTACAACAGGCTACATAAAAAGCTCAGGAGAACTCAGTACAAACTGTCGAGTATCAGAGGGGTAGCCGCGTTAGTCTGAATCTGCAAAAGCGGCGAGGAGTCCTGTGGCACCTTATAGACTTACCAAAGTGTAGGAGCATAAGCTTTCGTGGGCAAAGACCCACATGCATCTGACGAAGTGGGTCTTTGCCCACGAACTTAGTCTATAAGGTGTTACAGGACTCCTCGCTACTTTCGTCAATACAAAATGAAATTTCATATGATGACTTGTTTACACTGCTCTATATGCTATACTCCAAGGATGGCCAACATGTTCCTGACAAAGAGCCTGGATCCAGGTGGATACAGCAAAAAGAGCTGGGGGGGGGGGAGGGGAAGGAGCCCCCAAAAAATGGCAGAGAGAGAAAAAAAAGAACGACTGACCCTTTAAGGAAGTTGAAGGCTGCTATCAAATCCCCCCTCACTCTTCTCTCCTGTAGCCCCAATAAGCCCAAATCCCTGAGCCTCTCTTCATAGGTCCTGTGCTCCTAGTCATTTTTGTTACCCTCTGCTGGACCTTCCCCAATGTGTCCACATCCTTCTTTAGTGGGGGCCCCAGAACTGGATGCAACACTCCAGACGTGGCCTCATCAGTGCTGAAATAATAATGTTATAATCCAACTGATTTCTTTTACAGTTTCATGTAAAATGAGAAGACGCACAATTTTTCAATAAAGGGCATCGTGACCCTTTTGTGTGTTTATGTTTGATTGTGTAAGCAAGTAGTTTTTCAGTGAGGTGTAGCTTTGGGTTACAAATCAACCTCCAGAAATGGGGACAATCATCTGGAAAGGTTGCAAGCTCCTGCATTAAAGCACATCGTTTCCTATTGATAACCACCAACTCATCTAGATATTTGCCAAATTTTACAGCAGACTATCAAGGCCCTAGTGATTATGCAGATAAATAAGGATGCACGAGACAAGAGATGCAGAGTGAAAATGTAAACCAGGCTAACCAACATAGTTTCCATGGAATGTCTATTTTCTTGGTAAGATCAATAATATACATGATGGCGAAAACGACTGTGGACAAGAGGCTGTGTAGAACAGCTGGATGGACAGTCTCAAAACTGACCATTTTGATGACATTTTTCATCACAATTTGAAATTATGACCAAAAACTAAAAAGGATCGGAATTTTATGAACATTTTCCCAACATGTCCCATTTAGCCTTTCTCTGTGAGGTTCTAGGCTTACATGCTATATTCATATTTCATTTTCACATGGGGGGAGAATACAGTTTCTGCAACAAAGGGAAAAAGCTTGTTCAGACTTTGTTGGCAGATTGGTGCAAGTTTTTTGACCAGCAAGTCTGGCTGAAATTAAGACATAAATATTGAACTTGGTCATCAGTGAGAAATCTGGCAGAGTTCTCATGCTATTAGACAGATAAAAACAAATATCCCATTGTACATATCTAAAGAGAGAACATTGGGCAAATTTCCTGAGAGACTCTAGTATTGAATGAGTCTCAGATTCAGAACAATGTATTGCTAAACATCACAGTGTCCAGGAGGGATTCATAGAGCAGTTAGTCAGTAGGATACAGTGGTTGCCACTGAAAAGTAAACATTTATCACATAGTGTTGATTACATATCACTGCCATAGTCCAGTGCAGGAAATATAAAGCATCAGTTTAAATCAAGTGCTTTAATTCTTAGATCAAAAGAGAACTTTATATCATTTCATTATGCCCATTTTATAGGTAGAAAAACTGAGGCACTGAGGTTTGCCCAAGGTTACGCAGTCTGTCCTGGTGGAATAAGGATTGGAAAACAGGTCTCTTAATTTCCACTGCAATGCCCTAATCACCATCTGGGTTTTTTAAATTGTTGCCTGCTACCCAGAAAGAATTATGGTAACATAGCATGGACATGTGGGCTAAGGACTAACTGAGCTGAAAAATGATTTTGAGATCAATTTTTTCATGAAACATTTTTGTATTTTGTCCCAAATAATGTGTTGCGTATCTCTGCTTATAAAATTAAAACACATTGATTCACTATACAGAGGTTATTGGAAAATCAAAAGTGAATCTAGCAAATGGTCTAGAGCAGCGTTTCCCAAACTAGGGGCCGTGGCCCGGAACCGGGCCATGGGAAAAAAATACCGGGCCTCAGCGCGCCTGGTGGGGGCCGGCAGGGCCCCGCGCCCCTGAACTCGGAAGTGCCAGCGAGTTACAGAGCCGGGGGCTGCTCCACCGATATGTAGAGCTGGGTCTCTCCCCAGGACCCTCCCCCACGGGTCCCCTCAGAGTGTCCCCGCCATGCGTGGCTCCTCTCACCGCCTGCTGCTGCCCGTGGGCGGCGTTGCACGTGGGCGGGGAGGACGCCCGGGTGTGACGTGACGTCACGGCCCGGGATTTTAAAGCTCTGCGGAAACACGTGGTGGGGCCACGCTGGCTCCGGGTTCAGCCTCCGGCCCCGCCATGTGGAAGGCAGAAGGTAGGGAACGGGCTTGGGCGGAGGCGAGGACGAGGAGGCGGCGGCGGGCTTGCGCGGAGGGGGAGGGGTGGAAGAAGAAGGGGAGGAGAAGGCACCAAGGGACATGGTGCAGGAGAGAGAGACACATGCCAGGGGGCCAAGTGCAGACAATGAGGGAAAGGGTAGGAGGGGAGGTGTCAGTGGGAGGGGGGACAGGGTGATGCTGGGAGAGGAGAGGAGAGGGGGGGGAAGGACATTGGGGGCTGGAGGAGGAGGTGCTGGGACAAGGCTTGAAAGGAGGGGTGGCCATGAGAGGTGGGGATGGAGCAAGTCATGTGTGAGGGCACAGAGGGGCAGGAGGGGGTGGGGCAGAGAGTGCTGAGGGGGTGGGTATCAAGGAAAGAGAGGGCAAAGGGGGCAGGGGCAGTAAGGAAAGGGGGAGACACCAGGAGGGTGCAGGGTAAGGGAAGGTGCAGGTGCCAGGGGATTCTGGGGGTGAAGTAGAAAGGCAGACACCTGCAGGGGAGCGGGGGGACCAGCACCAGAGTAGAGAGAGGCAGGGGGGGGGGGGGGGGGG